AGTCTTATGTTTTCCATTCACGTTAAGGTGTTCTTCTGGAAAAGGAGCACTTGTTATCCATGATAGGAGGAGTTATACTTCTATCTAGGATCTATTGCTGCAGTAGTGCAATTATTTATCAAGATTGTTTGAGGTTCCAAGCAGTATGTGATTATGTTCCTTTGGTGAGGGTGTAATGTCAGATAAGATGTCGTGACATTGTGTTACTGGTGGAGTTCATGGTGGACTTGACGGTTTAGACTTGGGTCTATCGTTGAGTTGTCAATGGATTGAATCAGAATTGTATAATCTTCTTGGGAAGTGTTCTAAGAATCCTTGTTCTTATCTGGGAGAATTTATTTTTCTCTACAGAATGAGATAAAGCTCATTGGAGTCTTTGTTGTTAACTGGGAGATGTTTGAAGAAATGTCTTAGCATCTTGGTCAGTTGTTTTTACTTTTGGATGGAATGAGTATTCTTTAGGCTCAATGAAAGGCATTGTGACTATGCTTCAGAGTTTACCAAATGGAATAGGTAAAGTCTAACAAAGTGTCAAGACATTGTTTAGGACTTGCGGTTGTTTCAAGTTACTTTCTTTGGACGTGTTTCTTGGACGGTGGAGTGTGTGCCTAAGAGAAGGCGTGTTAAACATGTGTCTTGATACATGTGCTTTCTTTGGACGGCTTACCCTAAAGTTGAAACATTCAAAAATGCCTTGGCCAATCCACAATATTTTTTTGGTGAAGCTACATTTCTCATTTAATGTTCTCATTGAATTAACTTTCGATATTTTCAATGGTTCGTTACTTCCTAAGGAAACAACTCGGTATTTAAGGGATTCTTCACTTCGTTTTGTCTCAAGTTTTTTTTTGTGCCTTGTTCTCATGGGATTTGTCCACCTTTGGGTATGTTCAGTCTGAGTATGGGTCTTTATTGGACAACTTTGTCAGTTTTTGGCTAAAAGGGGGGAGAAAAGTAAAAGTACAGGGGTTGAGTTTGTTCTTGCAGTTGGTTTGCAAGGATGTTGGATAGGATGTTATGACATTCTGTCTGAGTCTCAGATTTTCCTTCTGTTCTAATTCTTACCTTCGTGTCTTGTGATCTTAGTTGTGAATACAATCATGTCCTGTGTTCTGAGTTACCCGGGTGAGGAAGTATATGGTTTTTAGTAAGGGGGAGCATTCTAGAAGGGGAGTGTGTTTGAAGGGAGTGTTCTTTAATCAACCCTTTCAGACTTTCTTCTAGCTTCTTTAGGAGTCTCAACTTCCTTTTAGGACCTTTTTCAACATCACTCATACTGGGTTTATTGTGCAGAAGGAGTTTTAGCCGAAATTTATCAAAAGGGGGAGATTGAAAGCTCCTGAGGTTTGACTAAAATTTTGCTAAAACTTGATGAAGAACAAGATGATCAAACATGAAGAATTCTGCAAATAATAAATATGTCGAATGAGATGTCCTAGCATGAAGACTCGACATCCTAGACTGATTTAGCAGGTTGCTTTAAATCTGTTGCAAGATTCAAGGAGCGATCACAACAGTGGATCAAAGAATCAGCTGAAAGAAGATTTGAAGCCCATGGACAGCAGAAGATTATAAAAGGAAGACTTAGACCTAGAAAAAAAATAACAAACCTCTTGTAACTCTTTTGTAAAGGGAAATAAGGGTTTAGGGTTTTGAGAGTCGTAGGTTTTCTTGTGTTGTAAGTCTCTCTTTGTATCAGTTTGATACATTGTGGTAGAGATAGGTTTACAGATTTAGAAACCTGTAGGAAATGAATTGTGTATTATTCTTGGATGAAGTTTTGAAGCAAATTCAATAGAATCTGAGTAGGATTGTTAGTCAAGGTTGCTTGGCTGAACTTTGTATTGAAAGAGGAGTCTTTCAAGTAGGATGATACATTTGTTGTTGATTGTAACTGTTAGATATCACAGGTTGTGATTAAAGGAGTGAGATGGGTTTCTCTTATCAATTAGATGTAACTTCTAATGATAAAGTTTTCATTGGGTAGTGATAGGTAAATCAGAGGTTGTTTACTATAAATCAGAGGTTGTTTACATAAAACTATACTACTAATAGTGGATTCTTCTTCCTGGATTAGTAGTCCCCAGATGTAGGTGATTTGCACCGAACTGGGTTAACATATCTTATGTTATTTATCATTCTGCAAATGTACATTTCAGTATTTGCTTATTGATTAATATGTTGTAACAAATGTTGAAACATCTGTTGTGATTCTATTGCTGATATTCAGAGTATCAGCTTGATTATTTTGCCCTTGTTTTAACGTTATGCAGAGAACAATGTTGTGACATGTTGTAGGACATCTGTGATCTGCTATGTCAGAATTTCAGTTTGTAAGTAAACCACACAAGTGTTACACTTATACATATAAAACACAATGAGTTCAAGCAAAAATTGCCACACAAAAAATGCACCGAAAAACTCTGGAGATGCATCTTCGATTTCTAGGAATCAAAACGTTAAAAATTTTCAGAGATGCATCTCCAAAATTTTCTTCAACTTACATCAGCGTCAATGACGGAAATGCAGTCTCCCAAGATAGCAAAAATAATGCATTGATCAATAAAACTACCTATCAAACACGTTTTTCATTTGAGTAACATGTATAAACTACCTATTTCATTACCTAATCATCATTTTCTACAAATTTATACAGAAACTCGAAAAATTTAGGAAAAACAAAAACAAACTTACAAACTTTGAAGTTGGTTGAATGATTTTGAGACAATGTGAGTTTTTTGATGGACTTGATGTTTACGAAAGAAGCTTTGAAGTTAGTTGAATGATTTTGAGAGAATGTGAATTGAGAAAGTTTGAGAAACTTGAGAGTGTTTTTTTAGAAGTGAGAAAGGATTCTGGCGTGTTTTTGAACAAATAACGTTCGAAAATGCATCTTCGTGTTCAAACGCATCTTCGTAATTATTTTTACATAGCTTTAGAGCTTTATTTAGAAATGTATTGAGTTGGAATGCATTTGGAGATACATCTCTAAAATTTAGAGTATTATTATATTTTTACGAAAGTGTATTAATAATCCATAGAATACATTAAGTATTCCTCTAATTTTATGGAATTTGTTTGTTGTTGAAGACTTGAAATTTAAGAAGATTTAAAATTTAAGAATGTCTTATTAGATGGTGAAGATTTAAGAATATACTTCTCTCAATATTTCATATTCAAATTTTACTAGAAATTAACAATTTTTTCTCATTAATTCAGATTCAATTTCTACTAGATATTAATATTTTATTTTATGTTGAACCTGGCCATACAATTATCTTTTTCATTTAAATTCTATTAGATATTGACAATTTTTCTCAATGTTTCAGATTTAAATTCTACTCGATATTAATAATTTTTTCGTTAAACCTGCCCATACAAATATTTTCTCTGTTTTTAATAAGGCCTTCCTTAGGAATACTTATTTTAAGAAAATTATGATTAAACCTGCCCATACAAATATTTTCTCTGGTTTTAATAAGGCCTCCGTTAGGAATACTTATTTTTTTTAAATTATGATTGTGTTATTTTCTTGACTTTTGTTTATTTTCTTTTCATAACTTTTTTAATGAGAGTTGTTTTGTTTGACTTGTGCAATAATTGTATATTTGTTTACTTTATATAAATTAGAGGAGAATTTAATAATGAATCATTCCAATAGAATTGTAAAAAAAAAAAAAAGTTTAATATTCTCAAATCATTTATGAAGATATATGGTATAGTTCATTAAAAACATAGTATATTCAAACTTAGGTATAATAATATTGTACAAAGTATAATAAACATTTCTATTTCTTTATTTGTTTAGTAACATAACTATAATTTTGAAAGTGACATAGTAACTTTTCACAACTACCTTTTTCTGTTCAAAGTTCAAACACAACCATTTTGAAAGTAACCTAATAACTTTCCACAGCCATAGAGTAGTCCATGAACTCATGGTTACCAGAAAGTTAACAGAGATGCCACCAATGCAAAGACCCCAATAAGGTTGGCCATATTTTCATCACAAGATACAGATTTCTGCAATCATGAAATAACTCATTTGACGCAGCAGTCACATGATCTAGACTATTTGATCAAGATCGGTAAATCAAATCAAACTGATCAGAGTGGCTCTCATACCCTCAAAGTGCTTCCAGTATTGGGTAAAAGATTGTTTCAATTAAAGCTCAAATCATCTCTGCTTCCTGAGAGATTATGTATCTATATACAATCTCCACATGGTTCTCCTCCCTGGTAATCAAAGGGGAGGGAATCAGTGTGGGAAATCATGTGAAGGCCATGGCATTTATATAAGCAGTAAGTAAGACACAATGAAAATTAAGATAATGATGAACACTTGTCTGTTATGGAAACAAACATTGTTCCCAACAAAGCAAACTAAGCAAAACATTGGCTTTAACTTTTTGGTTAATAGTATTAAAGAAACTTCATATCATCATCATCCTAGTCCTAGATAGTCACTAAATGGTATCTTATGAGTAATTGTTTTATTAATCCTGGTCATGATTCTTATCAATAAACAAAAAAAACTCATCTCTGGTACATTTGGAGACTCCAAAGTCAAAAGAATAATGTACAAAATTTTATATTGTTTTCATGAGAAATATTACAACATAATACACAGGAAAGAATCGAACAAGGGTTACCAAATGTGGTTTTCATGAGGTGCATCCATCTCACAGGTTCCACTTATCCACTTATCCGACTTTCATATAACTAGTTTGAACCAGTCAACAACATTGACGGCACGGCATAATGAAGCATCAAAAGAAATAAAGTACAATATATCACATATCCCCAAGTTAATATCCCCAAGTTAATAGACAGCAGAAGAGCGATCTGCAGAGAAAAGAAAAGTTTTCCTTGCAGATCATCGTCATATTCTGGTGCGTTGAAAGAAGAGCGACCTGAAGCAAATCTCAACAATTGGGAAAAGATTTTCTCACTCATCATTGAAATTATCTACATAATCTACATAATCTGGTAAATCCTACTCAATATGAGAACTCATGCCCTCGAAGTGAAATGTACTTCTTGACCCAGATGGCAATGTCTTCAGCACAAACCTGAGCCTGAGGGCTTCTGAGAAGTACGTCTAGTGTAGCAAATTCATGAACTGCATCTTTATATTCAAGAACAGGTGCATCAACATTCACCTTCCTAAGCTCCTCTGAGTAAGCTATGGCACGGTCTCTCATCCAGTCATGTTCCGCCACTACTGTTAATGTTGGAGGCATCTGCTTTAGAGGAGGACCATGGCCTAGGACTAGGGGATTGGCGGCTGGATGGTCTAGGCTAAATTCTTTCTCGGGTAGGAATAGCTTCCATGCCAGCATACACATAGCTTTGTCGTAAAAATAAGAGTTTGCCAATTTTATTTCAGAATGTGTGGGAACACTTCCAACAAAAAATGGATACATCAGGATCTGTGCCACCACTTTGACAGGGTCCAGAAGTTTGCCTGTTTCTACAGCTTTTTGAGCTACATAGTTTGCAATATTTGCTCCACAACTCACACCAATAAGCACACACCTGATTCAATGGTACAGAAAAAGTTAAGCCCTGAAAAAGTACAGTACGTAACACCATGAACACTGTCTTTGAATAGAAACTTTGACAAGAAAATATTAAGGGAACGGCAATCCAAAAGCTTATATACAGAAGTAACACCCTTCAACTTAAAATGTCAATGTAGGGTGTTTATCAAACAAGATCTGTTATGAAGAGTCATAGCTGTATAAAAATATACCCAACCACGTCGCAAGGAGGTAAATAAAATCTTCTGCAAATATCATAGACACTAATATAATCAAGCAATACAACCATTCTCCTAATTAATGCAAATCACTTATAGATGCCAACTGCTAAATGCATATTCTGAAAAACAAATAGTAAGTGGGAAAATGTTATTTCAAGATAAATTTGGAGAAAGATGCAATACTAAGTATGGCGAGATTTACTAAATCTAGAGTCGTTCCCTAACCAAGTTATGTGGCATAAAATCGGCGTCGTAAACAAAAGACACCCAACAGATATATTTAGGAAGAGACAGTTAAGTAGAAAAAAGAAACGACTCCAAAATGGTTAGCAGAGACCACTCTATATAAGAAAAAGCCTTTATATGACAAATCAAATGTACCTAATCAATACAGTAGATTGGGATTTTTACTATTTAGTACTTACTACTGTTCTCTAATGGAAAAATTAGCCCCTTGTAATAGTGCATTGGACTGAACAATCATTGTAGGAATCAGAAGCATTCCTGTACTTTTCTAATGGTTATTCCGTCTTTTCAAATAAGTTATTTAGTTTTACCCACAACTCAAAAACTAAAGAAGTTCCAAAGGGGTGACTAGGATGCTACTAATATACATAGAGGGGGAAAAACAATACATGGCTAGAATATAAAAGGAAATAAATTATTTAAAAAGGAAAAGTAATCTGATATTGAGGGTGAATGTAGTAAGAAATCACAGAAAGGTGGGCAAGAATGACAAATTCTGAGAAGAAAAAGGATCACATAAACCATCTTTTTTTTACAATGCCGTTGTGTTTTTTCAGCACATCTATCTTGAAGTTATAAGATGAAAAATGAAGCTTACGCCTTCTATAAAACAATAACAGACATCAATAGACACCCAGTTGGGAAAGATGTAACTAAAAATGCATTCTTTGACTGAAAAATGAGTGGCAAAACAGCAATTGACAAGTTAAAACCTAAATAACTTAACTAATAGGAAGGTAAAAAGCAACACACCATAATTAATTTTGAGATCCAAATCAATCAGAACTCCATACCATAATTCTCTACACAATAACTAATGAATCATGCATCACATAATTCTCTCTTGACTTGATAACAAGCATGCAAAACATATTTTCATGGGAGATTTTTAGCTCCATACTATTTTCCTCCATCCACCATAGACAACACTGATAACAACTGATAATCCCATACCAAATAGTGGAGCCTGATCAGTTTTTCCGAAACATGAAAATGAAAGGAGATGTGATTTAACATGAGAACACTCTAGGAGAAACTAGTTAATCAATAAAAAGAGGTTTCTGGTAGATTACTTTTCTCAAATATGAAACTTCCTTAAAATGTAACCAATCAAATATGAAAAACAACGTCCAAGAATAAATCTGCAGACAGAATCCTAGTTGTTTAACAGACCAAACTAAGCCACTCCCTTGTTCTTTGCAATTGATATCAGCTTGAAATCCCAATTCAAACTTCTGTTGTCATTAAATTCAAAAACCCTACTGCTGCACGGCAGTACCTGTTACTCTCTTCCTAACTCATGATCCCATGACAAATTTCTCATCTTACTCTACATACTCTAATCTCTAAATACATTTCAAATACATAAGGAAAGCCATATAATGATAGTTATAACTAATGAACAACAACGAAAACATTTACTTGAGTTACAACTAGGTTGACCATATCACAAGTTCACATCACAATAGAGTAGTGAAAGGGCGGTGCTATAGCGGGGCTATAGTATAGCCTAGCAGAATTTTAACAAACCGTTGTTGTTCCTTGATATGCAATTAAGTACAAAGTGTCGTCTATAGCAGCGCTGGAGCACAGCAGAATTTGAATAAACCATTATTTTTCATGATTGACAACAGTGAACCACAGCTACTCGGCTAGGTTGACCATTTTGAAAATCACAATTCAAACTCGTTGCCATTAAATTCAAAACCATACAACTGCACTGCCCGGCCCATTATTCCCTCCCTAACTCTAGATCTCATCCCATGACCAATTTCTCATCTAACTCTACATACTCTAATCTCTTTATACATTTATATCACACAATGCAAGCCAAATAATGATAGTAATAACTATTGCGACACCAACAACAAACCAAAGCATTCAATTCAGTCACAACAAGATTGATCAACTTTTTTTCATAAACCATCCTGCAGACGTGTGTCATAAGTTGTTTTCATAAACTTTTTTAAATAGTCTTAGAAGTGTTTGTGCCGATAGACAAGCTCGAATAACGTCAATCCAAACAAACTCTAAATTAAACACAACACAATTCACAAAGACATTGATTAGCAACAAAAGAAAACAATGTGAAAAGTGTAACAAACAACCTTGATAGATTTCCATGTGCAGCCAACCAAGGTTCAACCATAGAAGCACCAAAAGAATCAACAATATGCCTATGACCACCATCCAATTTCTTAATCCCCAACGACTTACTACACTCCGCCAAATTCGCTTGTTTCCCCAACCAACTCAAAACCTTAAATCCATCCTCAAAAGCCGCCGGATATCGACTCTCCGGCGCAAGCCGATAACCAACCGCAACAACCATCGCATCACAAAGCTTCGCAATCCTCCTACAAAAATAATCATTCGCCGCCGAATCATTACTCCCACTCACCCAACCACCTCCATGAAACTGCACCATCACCGGTAACTTCCTCTTCCGATCATCAATCGTCGGCGAATAACCACCATATCCACCACCATTCAAACCCTCCGCATCACCGCCGACACTATTCCTTCTGACCTCCTCCTTCACGACAGCGCCAATCGTACCGTAACTGTTCCTCCTTGTATTAACCCTCGGCGACGACGTCGTTTCACGTCCCTTAGGTTCGGACTTTCGTTTAGGTTTGGAATTAGGTTCGGGATTTAACAATGCGGATTCAGGGAGAAAAATCCGAACCGAAAGAGAAAGATTCGAATCGATGTGGATATCCTTGGTGGCGACGCCGTCGGTGAAAGAAGGATTCGGCGAAGCTATAGATTCGTCGGGTCGGGAAGTTATACCAAACGGGTCGGATTCTTCGATTGGAGTTAGGATACGGTTTTGTAAACGGTGTTTTAACAGAAACTTGAAGAAAACGCTGTAGAGTTTCACGGCGACCGTCGGCATTTCGGAGGTTGTTAGAAAACGGTTATGGTGATGATAATTTCATAATTAGTTTAATTGTTTGATTAAAATGTGGTTAAGGTGTCATTACATTTGGTAATTACGTGAGATTAAGGAGTTTTTGTGATAATTTTATTGTAGATTGTTTTGGTTGCTTTGAAGGTTTGTTTCAATGGCGTTGTTGGAGTGGTGAAAGAAGGAGGAAAATGAGAGAAAGGAAAGAAAAGGCTTTGACTCTTTTTATTATTATTTTCTTAATATTTGAAATTTGGAAGAAAAAGAAATTCGTGACTCTTTTTTTTTTGGAATTTTCTATAATTAAAGGTGGATTAGTGATTTGGTGCAATGCACCGATAATTTGGTGGATGTATTATAGGACTCAATTATGAGAGAAAGTAAACTTATTAAAAATTGGTTTGGTTAAAACTTAAAAGGGTCATCATATGTTGATATTAAATGACAAATTTAGAATATTATATGAAAATTTAATTTATTTTTTTTTATGTTTGAAGTATAATTTTGGGCGCCTTTATATATACTTATTCAGATAAGAGAAAGGGTGTGAGATTATTCCTCGTTTTTAATGGGTTTAAAATTTGACTCGAACGATCTATTACTTGGATATGAATGAGTATAACATTGATAGAAGGATACCACCATATTATTTATTGTAAAATTTGGTAAAGAAAAATAACTTTCATTTCACTTAAGAGATTAAATTCGAAAAGATCTCTAAACATATTTATGTGAATCATAAGTTTTGCATAAGTTTGACATCAAAATCGAAATGAAAGGAAACTTAAGAAAATGATTGAAACTAAATTCAATGCAGTGAATGACTTGAAACTAATACTTTAATTTGTAAAATAGAACGCATATATGTACATTCTTGACTCTATTCTCACAAACGCGTTGATACTTTGAGTTTTACATATATACTATTGCGGTCTTCTAAAACTCTAATTGAATATTACTTATATACTAATTCCAACTTAACTGTCTGTCATACTCTAATTTTTTACCCTAAGATTCTGATTTTGTTTTCATTTCGTATCGTCAGCATAGCATAACATGCCCTTTATCCTGCATAGTGTCTGAAATGTTAGTCAGAATAAATTTGTTGGATTTACAGATAAATCGGTCTAAATTTATTTCAAAATCTGACCAAACGCTGTATTTTTTCAATATGTTTATTTCGCGCTGATTATTTTGGTGTGTTCATTTTATTTTTTTTTAGCACTTTTTCCCCCGACTTTTTATTTTGTTTTTTAATCATTTTTATTTAAATAATCATTTAATTTATTTAGATTTAATTAGGTATTTAATTTAAATTTTTATTTTTTATTAATTAATTTTATTGTTAATATTTAAATCAAATCATAACTAATGAAAAACTAGAAATAAAAATACCAAAATAAATAATTAAGATGATTTTGATATTTTCATCCTTATAAAACTAATTAAACAATTGTTTTTACATTTTTATATGCTAAAATAAAGTAATTTATATATATATATATATATATATATATATATATATATATATATATATATATATATATATATATATATATATATATATATATATATATATATATATATATATATATATATATATATATATATATATATATATATATATATATATATATATATATATAAACTTGATTACAAAATTAACATTATATAAGAAAGTTTTTTTTGATATTTTTTAACATTGTATAAGTAAACTAAAAATAAGAAAGTTTTTTTTTTTTTGATGTTTTTTAATATTATATAAATAATAATAATAATAAATAAACTTGATTAATAGAAGTGACTAACAATAATGATAACCGATATCCAAAAATAAATTAAATTTGCTTCTTTCTATTATTTTTCTAAAGAAAAGGTCGTATAGTATTTACTAGAGAAAAAAAATAATGAAAGAGAATCTATTAATTATAATTAAGAGGTAATGGTGATCAAAACAAAATAAAAAAATTAACTGTTTATTATATTTGATACGTGACAGTATATGATATATAGTATTAAAATGTAATATGTGTAATATATACATAAATATATGATACATGGTGACACCTAACATAAACTATAAATAACCAAAAACAACTCATATACTTAAATCATAAAACTAAAGAAGCTACTTCAACCAATATATGTAAAGCAAACACTGTGTGGCATTATAAGTGGTACTACCAAGACAAACATGAAATTGACATAGATACAAAATAACATCAATTTTTTTAAAATAAAGGGTGAGTATTCAATTTTACCTCCCTCAAATGTTTTTTTCCCTCGCGTCGCTATCCTCTATGTCTCTTTCTCTCAATGTCACGTCGTGGTTTGTGAAACACTTTGCGGTTTAGATGTGAGGTAGAAGTGTTTTCTTTCTTTTTTTGTGTTCTCTTTATTTTTTCTAATGCATATATATAGGACTAAAAAATAGATAAAAATGATAATAACAATTAATACAATGTTTTTTTTTTGTTTTTTTTTTATAATAAGACAAGAATAAAAGGAATTAAAAACCATGTTATTGTGTCTTTTATAATAACGCAATAATAAAAAGAATTAAAAATCATGTTTTTGTGTTTTTTATGATAAAACAAGAATAAAAAGAATTAAAAATCATATTTTTGTGTTTTTTATGATAAGACAAGAATAAAAGGAATTAAAAATCATGTTTCTGTGGTTTTTATGATAAGACAAGAATAAAAAGAATTAAAAATTGTTTTTTTGTGTTTTTTTTATAATAAGACAAGAATTAAAAGAATTAAAAATCATGTTTTTGTGTCTTTTTATAAAAAAAGAAAATTTCTTGTTGCCCGATTCTAAAGGAGAATCCTTTTGTTGACTGTCATGTCATACTTAGCCTAACCTTAGGTCCTTCCCCTTTCATCCTAGTCTTAGGATTGGAGTCGCTATACTCTGTGTGAGTGTTCTGCCATGGACATTTCCTTTCCTGTTTATCCTAACCTTAGGATTAGAGTCGCCGTACTCTATGTAAGTGTCTTGCCATGGACACTTATCTCCCTTTTAACTTAGTCTTAGGTTTAGATTTTATTAACTCTGTGTAGGTGTTTTGTCATAGAAACTTATCTCTTCCCTTTAGAACCTTGACCACAATCAAGAGTTCCTCACCCTTATTAAAGGGAACTACGAATGCTCTGATTCCATTTCCGTTATGATACGTAGGCACGAGATGCGATATCTTGACGACATACTTATAAATAACACCTTAGGTCTCCCCTTTACATTTTCACCCTTTAGCATACAAATAACACATAACACAATAAAATAAGAGGTTCATGCAGAGTACTACAGATACTTAGGATGCTAGCACATTTCCTAGGTATAACCAACCCTGAACCTTAGATTCTCTTTTGCTTTGTTTTTGCATTGCATATTTTGGGTTATTCGTTCTTTTTCCATTCCCTTGGATAAATGAAAGATCGATGGTGAATTTTGATTTGTGTTTCAAGTTAATTTATTAGCTTGAGATCCGATTCTCACCGCGACACCGCCTGCAACAGTCGACTAAGCAAAATATGTCACGTCTTCGTCTCCATGCAGCCTTTGACAAGTTCCCACGTGTCCTCGAATAACTGTCTAATCTTATCCACTTACACCTTATTCGGCTATGTGGAGTAAACATCTTAGGTACTATGAATTTCATTAAGTCCCAAAACCAATAACATCCCTGGTCTTACTAATTGAACATTTGACCAAAGTTAGGACCATTTCTCGACAAGTCAAATTCGTCGAGATATCCATGGTCATAACTAACCACTTCGATTTTGGCAATAAACTCATCATCACGTGAAAAAATTATCACCTTCTTATAATCAATGCTTCCCGAAAATCCGAGGTAATAAATTGCCCCTTAAAATGTCATGTTTCAACTTTCCTTTTAATCATGAAGGAGAAATATGGCATTTTTAAAAGTATTTTCCAGATTGTTCAAATTCTTTCGCTGACGTCAGTGTCATCTGATGCTGTATTTTTGCAAGTATACGAATAACGTCAGAGTAATATAAAAGAGTATTGATCCCATAGAGACCAAACGTCAATCTATCGATTTCTATTGTTACGATGCTTATCTAAGAAAAATCAATCGAGATTTTGTTTGTGCAATGTAAAATTAAAGTACGAGAATATAAAATTCAATTTAAAACAACAGACTTGAATGTAATTCACACAGCCGGGTAGTATTCCAAATACGTGTAAATAGAACTTCTAATGGATAATGTTTTCTACTTATGAAAAGAACTAATTTAACGGGAACTGTCGCTTTTGCGTATTCAAAACTCGAGTTTATCCCTTAATCGAACCCTCTTATTGTCACTTATAAAAAGGCGTGCATTGCGTTAAAATAATAAACCTATTTTTAAGAAATATAGTTTCTTGACTTAGTTGAAAAGTATTTGGACCAGGAACTTTTAACAAAAAGAGGTTCATGCAAACCGGACTTTAAACCCATAAACGCGCCCGAAATAGTTTTAAAATTGTTTTTCTAAAGTACTAAAAACTCATACTTAACTGGACAAAGCGCCTTCGCTTCCTTTGAACAGTTAAGACTAACCAAGTTTAACCAAAGGTTGGACGGCTTTCGATCTTACCCAACAGAAATGAAGTACAGAAAACTTGTGTTAAAAATTAGAATAACCCCTAAGTGTTTCTATTGACAGCTTGTATGGAATACTACTTTAACTATGATCCTTACATTCTAACCTTTAAAATTTAGTCGGACATAGAAATGTAAGTAGGCATGTTAAATAATGCGAGAAAGTAAATGGTGCGGAAAGTAAATAATGCGGGAAAATAAATAAGAAACCTGCTCCAAACGGGAGGTTTTAAATCCGATACAATTGGAAATAAATGACTGGAAAGAAAATAGCGGCAGGATTAACTTCTACCAGAGTGCTCCAAACTCGATTACAGACTCGATCGGACAATGCGATAACTCCCTGATGTGAGAAGTTTATCACTTTACAATACTG